CCGCCCCAGGCCCAGGATGGGGGAGGGCCCGGGCCGCAAAGTTTGTCACAAGAACGAACTGTGCAGGGCTCTGCGGTCCGCGCTGAGGAGCCGGGAGCGGTCCGGGCCCGGGCAGGGGACGGGGAGCAGGGGCCGGCAGGAGGAAGGGAAGTGCGGAGCAGAAGGTACCAGGCTTCTGAGCAGCAGGCGTGGGGCAGCGTGGCTGAGCGGATAGTGGCCCTGGGAGCCCCGGGTCACCTGCGCCCGACCGGTAGGGGTACCAGGGACGAGAGCAAAGAGGAGGCTGGACCGCCTACCCCACTGTCCAGACGTGGAGGGGTGGGTTCCTGGGCACTCTGGCCTGTGGAGAGGGTCCTGAGTCCCAGGGCCTCGGAGACCCCGCCACCACCTCCTCTCCTCCAGGGGCCGCGTCGTCGCTGGAAGAGACCTGCGATAGCGCCTCCTCTCCATACGCTGCTGACTCAGTTTCCCCGCAGTGACAGTCCAGTCCCCCGCCGTCGCCCCTAGGCGTGCTTCTTCCCCTCCAAGCCCCCTTTCTCTCCTCCCTGCCCGTCTTCTCTCTCTCCGATGTTCACTGGGCTTTCTCCCCACGACCCCTTGCTTGGGTCCCCTCTTCTCCCTCTCTCTATCAGGATTTCCACTTTATTTGAGTTACCAGCGGACAGACACCTTCCTCCCCTTTTCGCACCCGGGCGCTCCTCGGCCGCTCCCCGCTCCCGTGCAGTAAGTGTCCTTAATGGACACGTTAATTAAACTGTAATTAATCATACTGTCCAGTCCAAGTTTGAACAATTACCCTAATCAAACAGAAGTTAATAATGGCAGGGATGGCCTGGGGCGCCACGGGCGCCCGGGCAGGGGGCGCAGCGGCTTCAGCGGCGACCAGCGGTGGCGGCAGCAGCAGCGAGCGCGGTGCGTCCTTGGAACCCGGGAGGCGCCATAAATCTTCCGAGGCCAGCAGCGCCAGGTCGCCCCCGCCCCCGCGCCCTCTAGCTCCGGGTTACTGGCTCTCGCCCCTCCTGCATTCCGCCTCCTCTGGGGCTCGCCTCCTCTCCCTTGGTCTTCTTGCTTCTCCCTTCTCCCCTGGCTCGCGGGGACTCCGGGGAGGACCCGAAGGCGCGGATGGGTCGCCCTCAGAGAGTGGGGTCTCCAGGCCCTTTCCGGGGACCGTTTCTTCCCTCCCCATCCGGGTCAGTGTGCAATACAAGGCCTTGAACATGACCCCCAGTTTGGGGGCCCTGTATCCTCGCGGAGTCTCTTCCAGACGGGTTTCTACTCTCTCATCTCCCGCCGTCTCTCTCTACCCACGTCCTGTCCGCTTTTCTCCGGCTTAGACCCTGATTCTTGCTCTGCCCATGGCCCCTCCACTGGCGCCCCTTTCCCAGGCGCTGTCTCTGCTCCGTTTTTTAACTCTACTGGCCCCCAGTCTGAAAGTCGCCTCCAGCCCCATCCTCCTCGGCCCAGGCTCCCCCACCCCGTATTTACAATCTCGTTCGGTAATTATTCGTCGCCTCCTAATGATTTTTAAAGGCGTCTTAGAATTCGGTGTGGTGGTGACCGTGATCGTGGGGTCAGGACAACCTCAGGGTGGCGGGAGTGGGAGTGGAAAGCAAATGGACTAGGTCCCCCGACATGCTTGTCCGGATATGAGAGAGCTGCTGGGGCCAAGGGTTCCTTTGGGGCTGGCCTCGAAGGTGTGTGCCCCGCAGCCGGGCCTGGGGCCGCTCCTCCCCGCCCCCCGCCGGGAACAGCACTAGGGGGCGGGCGGGGTCGCCTCGGCGGCCCGTTCAGCACCAAGGGGCGGACAGCTCCCAGCGCCCTGTCCCAGAGCCAGCGCCCCCGCGCTCTCCATCCCAAGCCGGCGCGGGAGGAAGACAGGCGCACCGGGAGAGGCGCGGGGTGGTGCGCCCGGGCGCAATCTTGGGCCGGAGGCTGAGGTTCCGCTCCACTCCCGCCCCGACCGGTCACTGCCACCTCGAGCTGCGACGCCAGCTTGCAAAGTAGTTTTCAGAAGAATCCAAGGTAGAGAGCATTTGTCCCCATTTTACAGACGGGAAACTGAGGGCCGGGCAGCCGGAGACATTACACCACCAGCCCCCTTCCGGATCCGTGGCTATTAAAAGGATCTTTCAGACTCCAAATACGCGTCGTCGCTGTGAGGGTGGCCTCGCTTGGTGAATGGAAGCTGCGGAGCGTGTGGCGCGCGGGACACAGGTCACCTGGTCGGAATCCGACAACCAGCGGTTGGCGGAGCTGGGACGTAAACCCAGGTTCAGAGGGAGCAGGGCAGGGACCATCCTTCGCAGTGGGTCCCGCAGCCCTGTCCGGCGGCAGTGCCCTCGGCCTCCCTGGCCCCCACTAACGGATTCTTCCTTGCCCGGTGGCCGAACATCATATCTCCGGGTCCCGGACACGCCTCCAGTGCTCCCAGCGCCGCAGGCCGACCGGCGCTGCCTCCCGGCCCCTGGCGTCGGGTCTACGCGGCCAGGTCA